AATAAAATAGTTAGCTCCCAAAGGTTTCACCGGGACGTGCTAGGCAGGTAACAGCTAAGCTAGCTAGTTCAAAAACCCTTTGGAACTACATGAAAACTGAACAAAGAAATCAGTGGTGAGTTACGTAATGGATACCGTATATTATGCAGGTCATTATCGGAAAATAAGTACGGACAGGGCGAAGCGGACCCCGACGCGCAGGGGTCTGCTTCCGCCCTGAAGGTACTTATTTTCCGATAATGACCTGCGTAATATACGTTATCCCGCTTATTATACGGCTTTATACCAACAGAACACACAACATAAACTTCAGTCCACTTTTAGGAATGCCGAAAGGCAGAGGTGGGACAAAGTCATTGTTTAGCAAGTTACAAGTCAGTCTCAATTCATTGCCCTCAAGTCCCGAGTCAAGTCACGAGTCAAGACAGGCAAGTCCCGAGTCGAGTCCAAGTCAAAGGCCAACAAATCTCAAGTCAGTCCCAAGTCCTACGGTTTGACTTTCGAGTCCTCTCGAGTCTTTTTGACCGCGATTTGTTTCTTGTTGGTCTCCACGTACTTTTGTAGGCAAACAAAATAATGTTAGGAATCATTTTGCTGGTGCATTCTCGTTGGTCTCTGACCCATGGACTAACAGTTTGTTCCATGTCGTTTGCTGCTGGTAAATCAAAACTATCTACGTGATCTAATTGGATGTTGTGCCAGATGCAGGCTCAGTTACACATGCACAGACCACACATAAAATCAGAGCAGTCCGTGTCAACATACTTTTTATCTTTGGGGTTTTTAATGGGAAGTAGCAAGTGCAGCTTATATGAATATGAGTATTGGGCTAGGACCTGTATCTATATAATCAGTTTAATGTCCGTAGTGGTTATTGTTCCAAATGTCCTACTGTAGAATAGGGGTAGTATGAGGGGTCTAGGCTTTGGACCTGGGGCAGCTCGCCATCAACTGGACCAGCATTAGCAATATCTCATAATTACCAATATATCATTACATAATAAAATGTCTCATATAAATTAATTCAATCAGTCAAAGCACTGATTCTCATATCAATGCACCATAAACAATAGTGCAAATATTAATCTAGCTTAGTGCACATAATCAAAACAACTATCTAATGTATGCAAACTTTAGCAGGAGGAGCACAGCAAAAACATACTCATAATAATAGGCCTCGGCGCCCACACAGAAAAATATAAGAAAGAGCCAACAGAGCAGCGCAGGCTAGCGCTAGTTTGACTCACCAGTTCCTCTTTAAAACACGGCACACAGTGTGACAACTGCGTCGAGTCAATTGTATGAGGCGCCTGTAGTGAAAGCATATCAATTACGGTTTGTAGAACAAAATATGACGTTAGGTCGCGATAAATACCTGCAGCTCGCTCATTTCCAGCTCCCCTAGACAACACACCCACCGGTGAATGCAGTCCGCTTGTTTAGGGAAGTGTTGCTGCGCGAACTGCCTGGAACTCACGTTCGAACTCTCGCGCGAGCGCTACAACTACCGCGAGGCTTTGTTTCTTCAGAGACGGCATAGATAGAAAGAGAGATGCGGAGAAAGGTAAAAATGGCCCGGGTTACGCAAGTCTTTACAAGTCAATTGGCGCAAGTCCAAGTGAAAGTCAGAGTCATTGATGTTAAAGTCCAAGTCGAGTTACAAGTCTTTTTATATTTGGTCAAGTCGAGTCTAAAGTCATCAAAATCATGACTCGAGTCTGACTCGAGTCCAAGTCACATGACTCGAGTCCACACCTCTGCCGAAAGGTTTATTTAATGACAGAAAATAAAATAGTTCCCAAAGGCTTTCCCGTGGCTATGCTAGCAACAGTTAGGCTGGCAACTTCCAAAGTAGAACTCTCTGGAACTGCATGAAAACTGAACAAAGAATTCTGAACATCAGCGGTGAGTGACCCATACATAAACCTAACCTAAATCCATAATTCGATCCTCTGCAAATGTGTCCGAAAATGTGCCGGTATCTTAAAATGTGCCGGTATCTACTTCCGGGTTTTTCGGGATCGCCTTTTCTCGCATTACATCAGTGTTTTTGTCATGAAAACGTAAACGGAAATTCTGAAAACTTCCGTGCACTTGTATTAAGACTGGATATGTATAATTTACTCTCCGATTAACATTTCATTGCGTTGATTGATTGGCATTTGCGTTTATTGAGCGGCCAGAACTACTTCCGGGTTTTTCACGATCGCTTTTGACGCAGAGAAATAGTATTTTTGTCATAAAGACAAGACCAGAAAATTCTGAAAATCTCGGTGCACGTGTGTGAAGAATGTATATATAAGTATTCTCCGATTAACATTTAAGTGTGTTGATTGAGCGTGGCTAGCTCCGGAGTGGCCGGAACTACTTGCGGAGTGATCCACGCATTTGAAATACAAGCACAGAGTGCGTTGCCATGGGCAGCGGTCATTATTGTTTTGAGAGGTCCGTTATAGAAAATAATGACCGGTAGAACGTTTTGAAATTACATTCAAATCAATGGAGCGTTCTACTGCTGCTGTGAGGAGCCGTATAATAACCATTTATATACCAAACCTAAATCCATAATCAGATCCTCTTCAAATGTGTCCTAAAATGTTCGTTTCATGTTAATGATTACCTCCGGGTTTATCGCGATCACTTTTTGTCACATTAAAACAGTATTTTTGTCATGAAAACGTTAACAACAAATTCTGAAAACTTCCGTGCATGGGTGTCAAGGATGTATACGTATAATATATTCTCCGATTAACATTTAAAGGAGAATAAATGTTATTGGTATTTGTTTATTGAGCGTGGCTAGCTCGGCTAGCTCCACTAGCTTCTCTGCACAGACAGAAGTAGTGACAGGCGCTGAAAGCTTGTTGTACTTGTGGAGTAATGTTTGAATTCTACACACCTGACAGACAATCTCTGTCTTGTTTCTGTTATCAAGAAAAGATTATCAGTAGAACGTTTTGAAATTACGTTCAAGTCAATGGAGTGTTCTACTGCTGCTGTGAGGAGCTGTATAATACATTATAATTAAATGTTCAAATATATTCTAATGTTTAAATTAATACATTCGGATGCAAAACTAGCAGTATTCTTTTACTTATATATTGTGTTAGCAGTGCGTTGCTTTTGTACCATTTCATCAGTGATTATTGTACAGCTTACAAGCAGTTGAACTAATGCTAATGTTAGCATACATATCAGATCGCAAATTAAACTAGATGGCTCCGTGGGATGAGAGCGTAGGGGAAATGAGAAGCCTGTGAGCGAGTTGGGGGGCGGTGCTAAACAATCAAACTTTGCAGAAACGAGTATAGCTCCATCCATCCATCCATTTTCTTCCCCTTAATCCATTCCTGGGTCGGGGGGTGGCAGTCAGAGCTGCACCCAGTACACATAGCACCAGCCCCTCACTGATCCTCCTGCAGATGTGAGTCCACAGGAGCCTTGATCTTCCAGCAGGGGCAATAGCTCTTGTAAGTATAAATAAAAGCGTATACTTTTTAAATTTAACTTAAGAAAAGGCATGGCTCTAATACTTGATATTTTGCAAGAGTAGATTTTTATACAAATGTCTATACCTCTACGTATACCTAAAACAATTACCTTTGCCACCTCTTCTGGCTAATTGGCAGCCCCTGTCCCTGGCTCTTAAAGAAATAAGTTATATAAAAACATACTAACAGATACAGAATTAAGAAACAAAAAACATAAAAATTAATAATTATAATAATAATGCATTGGAGTTGTGCTGCAATTTCTAGTCTCTCAAACATGGCATTATTCATTAACACCAGTGGTCATAATAGCTGCCCTGGAGAAGACTGACAGAATTAAGGCAACTACTTGTGACATCGGTTCCACTGACCACCACCAATTATTCACGCTCACCAGACTCATACTAGGAGGAAATATGGGTGAAGTTTCTTTTCAAAGGACACAACAATAGTTTTGCACTCCTCACTGTCAATCCTGGTGTTCCAAGAGGTCCCTTTTCACAGTATTAATCGAAGATACATTTAAAAATAATTGGTCGCATTTGTCTGATCTACATGCAGTTTTAGGATTCAAACTTCTGATTGTCTGTGAGCCACTTTTTCTGTTTTGTAGAGAGTCTTATGTCTTACTATAAGTTTATATTTGTATAACAGGCACTGTGAGCGTATGACCTGATATCAATAGCAACATCCTGCTCCAATGAAATGTCCACTGTTCACCGGGGTTTGAAAAGAGGTACTGAGTGAAAGGTAAGACTTGTACCAAAACAATGGCTCGAGCTGTGAGGCTGAACTCATATTACTTTTGGCTCCTTTGTCGAATTCTGGCCCCTGAAGAGAGTCTGCAGTTACTTTGGTCTGTATAAGAGCTGTTTTTCCCACCTTCAATATGGCATTAGGATTTTTTGTATGAAATTGTCATAATCCCCACATATACTTCTTGTGTAGTCTATAATTCCCCTCACACCTATAGAGGTTTGCAGAGGAAATTAAAGTGGTAATGGTTGTTTCTCAAGAGTCAGCACTCCAATTACATAAAGTACAACCCCCTTCATTTCATTCCAGGTCACAAATCACTCATTCTATACATCTAAAGCCCATATCCACTAGAGCAGTGGTTCTCAAACTGGGCTTGACAGACTGCTGATGGCGCTTAGTTTTCTAGTTCACGTGTTTTTATATGTACAACTATGTATTATACATAGGACTAGAAAATAATCTTAACCTCAATTCAGCATTACATATTGTTTAAACTACTATTGATATGTCATGATAAGTAGTAACACAATCATGAACTTGGAACAATGCTTCTTCTTGTCCCTTTCTGAAAATATACTTAAGACATCAGTTTTTGTGCTACTGTTGTGGCATTGGGATTCGACTTAGCTTCCACTCACAGTAATCCTTCATTAATCAGTTCCATTAAAAAGTGGATCTTGACATTAAATAGACTAATAAAGGGGAGGAAAAGGAATGAATCTTCACATTATTATTAAGGATAGAGCCTTTATGCCAGGCTGTACCACTGTTGACAAGAAAGTTAGGTTACATGACACCTCTATTCTCACTATAGTTCTTTTACCAAATCCAGCCAATCCGATGTGGCCTATCAGAAACAGGGGATGCCTTTACCGACCACTGACCAATGAGATGGGAGATCCTACCACCTGCACTTTTACACTAAAAACTCCACTTGAATGGTTTGTTGTCTTCTTCTAATATCCAATACACCCCTAAAATGCAGTTGTTTGCATGCATACACAGTACTGCGCCTTTAAGAAAGCCTGGCTCATTGCATGTCGGCTTGTACATCACTCTGGCCTCGGATTGTTTACTGCAGCGAGGCTTAAGCGGGTTAGGGACGGACAGTGGATGTGACCGGCTCAATCCTGCGCGCTACTGTGTCAGGCGAAAATAGACCGCGTTCCCTATAGCCCTATACTATACACCCCCACCAGCAGCAGCAGCAGCAGCAGCAGCAGAATTCAGCACCGCCCTCTTTCCATCCACCGCTCCACGTCAAACTGGGGAAATTTAAACAGGACAAACGCGGCCATAGAATCACGCATCTCTGTAGCGCGCTCCAAGGTCACTGCCTCGGCCCGGCATACTAGGGAACGGGACGCACGCCTCCATTCCCCAAAGGTAAGTCAGCGCACGCAACGGTAGAGCAGCTTTGGGAGGAAAGAGCGCTCATGGATGGAATAAAAAACAAAACAGAATAGCAGCACTGAAAAGAGCGGTCTACAGATATACAGAGCTGGTCAATGAAAGCCGTATAACCTGCGTTTATTTTGAACGTCATGCAATTTCCAACGGGCAGCACAAGACACGATGAATAAATTATAAGATGAGAGGGTTTGGGAGAGTGGGTAAAGCGGGCGCGGCATCCTGACTGACTGCAACAACCATCAGGGGAAATTGAACATAGTACATATACTTGCCCTATCCCAAAATCACCACCAAGCCCCATAAAATGCTTCCCCCACTAACTAAATATTATTTGTTTAGTACTCATACAGTACTGTGCTCCACCACCTCACAGATATATAGATATAGATATATATAGGCTTTAATAGGAAACTTTCACTTTACCTATGTAATGAGTAATTAGGGGTGGTGTTAAATAAGTGTTTATTCTTCCCACTCCTTTTCAGGCATCCATAAGTGTTGTGTTAGTATCATTTACTCTTTTTGTTTTATTTTGTAAATGTAAAAGTTGCTTGTGATTAATTTGTACAAATTATTTCTATTCCCACTTACTTGTTCAAAATAAATATTTATAATAAATTAGATAGATAACGCAGACAATAAACACATCTAATCATAGATAATCTAAAACATGGAACTTAAAACATAGCATTGTTGTAACCAATGTTTATCCATTGTATTGTGTCCTAACTTCCCATAATATTGTTCCATGCATAAAGTTTTGTATGATTTGATCATATAACCAGCAAGACAAGACACTGTTTGTCCTCTGTCCCAGACAAAAGTGTGCAGCTCAGAGAGGACACAGGAGCCATTTCCCCCGAGGAGGCTCTGTTCAAGTCAGCTGATGTGATGAAGTAAAAATAACTGAACTCTGTGGAGTGGAAATTCTGAAGAAAATCTCAATGTATTTACATTCTTTGCTAACAAAGTGCTGCTTCTGTCTGAGGTCATGGATTCTTTCATGTCGTAATGAAGAGTTACAGGTCCAATCCATTATGGCTCAACTCCATATGTTTCTGTTGAGCGATAAGACCTTAAATAGATTTGTTCAAGGATCCTGGTAGTGCTGTCTTAGGGCTTTCATTTGAATTACAGCACAGTCAACATTACAAATACTTGGATGCATGTTTGTTTGCCAGAGGTGGAGAGTTGTTAAACATTTCTACAGATAAGTTTGTGTAAGTAGTATTGCTAAAGATAGCAACTATTTTATTTATTTTGCAATCAATATAATTCTTATCCTGCCTTTGATCAAAATTAGTATCTCACCTCAGTATGGTGACAGGCAGAAACAGCATCATTTTGAAATAAGTGCTGTAATTATTTCCATTAACTTAAGATAAAACAAGGGTGAGCAATTGTGGTCAAAGGTATTTTACAATAAAATAATTTGACAAACTTTATGCATTATTTCCAAAGTGCACAGCTTAATGAGAATAATAAGACTTTACATGCATGGCATGTGCATGACATTGTAGAGGGTCAAATGGGTAATATGGTTGATGATAGTTAAATAAAACACAACACTACAGCATACAGTGTGAAGGAGTGCACTTTTTTATACAGCTCAGTGCTTTCCTCATCAATTTAAATAGTCTAATATTTCACCAGTATGAACCAAACGGTGTCACACTCACAAACGTAACAACTCCAACAGTCCAGGGAGACTGGAGACATGTGTTTGTCAGTGTGACCCACTCAAACAGAGCAGGTCTATTGTTGTAGAGTTGATCCCTCGTGTTTGTGGGGACTACACTGGTTCTTCTGTGAGCTTTCAGGATTGTTTTTATTGTGAACAGCGAAGCGTCACTTGGATAAATCCTAAAGCTCTGAAAACTGAATAATGAAGACTCTGAAGTATTTTTAGTACTTAGTAAACATATGTATTTATGAAAAGATCAAGTGGGTGATTGAAAATTATTTTTAAATAATGCTCAAAATATGGACATTCATGTCATAATGCATGGAATGGATGGGAATAATGTGTGCCAAATGCTCACATGCAGTTGCTCCATGTGACATGCATGTGATGGTTACTTTTTCAAAACCATTTGGATAATTCAATATCAACATCAAAAACTCGCCAAGACATACAGTATGTGTGTCTCAATCCAGTAGTTGCAAGTTATACTAAATATTTTTTTGCGGATCTTTTGCGGACAAGTTAGCTATTTGTAAAACTGTCACCTGCCTTAGTAACCAATCCAATCCACTTGATTTATATAGCACATTTTATAAACATAGTTTCCAAAATGCTAGCACGTAATTCATCAGCTGATGTTTTAATTTCCTTAGTAGGTATGGTCAGCCCGATTGACCTGACAGATTGCTCAGACTGACCTAACCGAGAAGCTTGCCCCATGGGTGTGACTGATGGACGGGCCACTCATCATGACACATCCCAATCCATAATGTGGTTGTTTCTCGGTTAGGTTATTCAAACATGTTCCAAAGAGCACTGTTTCCATCATCAGGGAATGGAAAGAGTTTGGCACAACTACAAGCCTACCAAGACTTAACTGTCTGCCCAAACTCTCAGCTTGAACAGGGACAGCACTGATCACATCAATTAAATTGAATAGATTCACAGATGTAGGCACAAGGCCCATGGATACTCTGGAGCAGCTCACCTGCAGGAGAAATATGTACATGGGACAAATATAAGACATACACTGCACAAATCTGGTCTTTATGTAAAAAGTGGTAAATAGACATTTGATGTTGAAATAAAGTTGCAAGAAGCAAAGCATGGGACAAATCCATTGTGCTGTGGTCAGTTGACACCAAAATGTAACCATTTGGCCTGAATGCAAAATATGTAGATATCAAATCTAACACCACTCATCACCCGTGGTGCACCAACCCCAGTCAAATATTGGGGTGAGAGCATAAAGTTGTTGGCTTGTTTTTCTTCAACAAGGACAGGAACATCTTGGAAGTTCTTTCCTTCAAGGTTTCTGGAGTCAACAACAGGCAGGACAGCAGGGCTTTAATTGGTTAAAAACAAACGTGTGTCAGAACAACCCAGTGTTTAAAGTGTTGTTCACAAATCAATCAATCAAGAAAAAAACCTAATAAAAAGGGGATGGAGAAAGCAATTATAAAATCTGCGCAAAGTTTGTCAGAAAAATGCCTTTAAAGTGAGGTGTAACATGCCATGCATTTTAAGTTGCAAGCGTTTGAGAAAATAGTCACATGGCCATATATAAAGGTGAGTCGGGCCACACATTTGCCAGGTCTGGCCTAGTGCCTTGAAAGGATTATGGGGCCAATGTGTGCATTACCTCTTCCTTTCCTGTATTACCATAACAAGGCTCATTGACAAGAGGAGTGATACAATGGGTCACTGCAAGATGTGAAGCAAAACAATATTTTGTCCATGATTGTGTTTCTGGGTGACCTTGCTGTGACAGGCCATGGGCTCAGTTTTAATAGATTTACCTATTGCTGACTTCAGTACAGAGAAGCAATTCAGTTCATAGTGTGTGCTTTATGTTCAAACATTCTTTCCTTCTATCTTGATGACAAGACTGATGATCTGAATGAACATTGTATGGACACAGCTTACGTTACATACAAGTGTTTCTGGAGTTGAGCTTATCATACAGCTGCCTTCATCACTTCTTTCTGTGTGTATTGTGCAAATAATTAATGTCTTGGAATGAAAATAATGACAACGTTAAAAGAAGGATCCAAGGCACATAGCAGTAGAAAAATCAAAAGTCCTTTTATTTAACTGGACATGACCCCTTTTAAATAGTTTAAACGCATCAAAGAAAACTTCCCTGACGAAGACACATTTAGTGTGAAAAAATGTTTCTGGGTCTTCATCATGTATTGTGCTTTTCTTGACTGGTGTTCTACAATAAAAGGATTTCTGCCAAGCTATTGTCCCATTTCTACAAAGTAACAATAATGTTCTGTACTTCTGCTAAGCTATTCTGTTATGGGAAAAGTGTATCGAAGTAGAGATCTAGTTGTGTGACTAGTGCATGTAAGCTTGTGTGTGCCTAATTTCATCTAAAGACTTGGTTTTAAGATTCAACTGTATTAACTAAAAACACATTTAAACAAGATTCGCAAATCCAGTCCAATTGAAGTGGTCTCCATGTGCCAGGGCTGATAAAAACATTACTGAAGTCAAAAGAGCTCTCCAATCCAACAGGATGTAATTGCCATCACTGCGCACATTTAAGCATCTAATATGATAGACATTTTTTTCACGTTTTTTTTATTTAATAAAAAATATATATTTTCAAAGTTGTCTCTATATGATATAGGAAAGGAGGTCTACAGGTTAGAGACACAGCCTTCTATTGTCAATAAATACTAATTTGTTAAGCACATGATGAGTTAATAATGAACCATTTGAAACAAACAAAGCAAACCTCCGTGGAGGTAACCTTAGTGCTAATCTCACGTTGCTATAACTTTGACATTGCAGAGCGTAGGTGGGAGGAGCTGAGAGGGCAACTATGTCAAAGTCAAGTCTAACAATGCAGCGCCTGGTCACCAAACGTAACTGAAGCCCACGTTTGTCTGGTGACTGGGCTGTCGTTGTGTTTGGCTGTAATGGAATCAATTCATTGCAGTTTTCACTTGAAGGAAGAAACATAAACAAACATTGAATAAAAGGTTTTTTTGTCTGACGAATGTCTCATGTGAAAGCCAGATCCCATCAGACCTCTGAAGCTAAGGAGGGCAGGGGATGATTAATATTGTGATGGGTGACTTCTGGGAACACCAGGTGCCACAATGGAGTGGCTGTAAAACTGTGGATGTGTCCTTAGACACCTCACCTACATTGCCTGTAATGAGTCTGGTGTGTGCAAATGGTTGGTGGTTACCTTAATTTTGTCAGTGTCCCAGGGCAGTGTGATTTATAAAACCAGTGCATTGATATTATTTAATGCACCTGTTATGATTCAGAAACTGCTACCTATGAGTTCTATAATATCCTGGGAATCACACGGCTTTGTTGTCTTATTTGTTTACATTTGGATCTCCAAAGTCTTAATAACAAAATGGTTAGCAAAATGAAATCACTTCTAACCCTATTTAATAATGTGCAGTGATGAGCTGATTGTCCACTTGCAATGTACTTACTACGACTGCCATCAACTCTTTGAGAGAGGGCTTTTTAAAAATTCTAAGGTGGTGATTGGTTTTCCTTTAAGTGTCTGTGAGAAACCTGAGCTTTGAACAAGAACAGAGAGAAAAAAGCACATCATTTATTAAAGTCAACTCAAGCAGAAGAAGCTCATGCACAGTAACCTGCTCACCCTGGTGCCCTGTTGAGCTTAGTGAGATACAAATATAATATTTAAATAACAACCATCTGTTTCTGCATAGTTAGTTGTTAAGCCTTCAAACACACATACTTGATTAGTGTCTGTAAAATCAAACCTTCTTGAATATGTATTTCGTTGCACACTGTTGAAGTAAGCAGAGTTCTTACAAGTGGGTTTGGCCATAGTGATGGTGTGTGTGGTCTGTGACAATGTTGTGTGTCTGCGTGTCTATACAGCAGCATGTAAACACCTGCAGAGGCGTCTGCATCAGGGCGGGTTTGTGTTGTAAACAATGAAGTGAAGCAGTTTCCATTACAGCCTTCGGGTCAAGGAGAATGAGCAAAAGCCTTGTCATGACCTCTGTGAACATATTTCATTATGAAAGATATTTATTCTTTTTAGTGCTTTATTATATTGTCAATAATTTGTGAGTTGTATCCTTTGGATGCAATCCCTTCTTTAATATTCAAACACATCACAGCATCTTTGTAAGCAACATGATTAGAGAAAACCTGTCTTTATTTCAGTGCACTTGCAGAGCACTATAACAGATATACACAATATAGCTAAGTACTCCTGACTGAAGTACATGCATATACATTATATATATTAGCAGATGAACAAAAATAAATAGTTTGCAATCCCTATTTTTTGTAGTTCGCTAATATATATATATTTTTTTACATTTAAAAAACTTTACAAATTGCCTCATGCATGAATGTTCCCAATAGAATATAAATGTGCTTGAGGGTAGATGAATTAGCACCATGATTCTCTTTTGTGTGCACTGCACAGAGTATGATCAATGATTTGGCCAATGTATTTACTATAAACACTATTGCCAGCTGCTTGTTGTTATTGTATACAAACAGTACACTATATCTCCCAAAGGCCAAGGAAACATCTTTAATGAGACCATAATATGACCATAATATGATATACAGTATATGTAAGAAAAGAAAAAAATAATGGTTATCCCTCTCTAAGCTCGGGTCCTCTACCAGAGGCCGGGGAGCTTGAGGGTTCTGGGTCAGTATCTTTGCTGTTCCTAGCACTGCACATTTCTGGACCGAGATGTCCGAGGTTGTTCCAGGGGCCTGCTGTAACCACTCCTCCAGCTTCGGGGGTCACTGCCCCGATTGCACCGATTACCACGGGCACTACTGTCACTATATACATATATGATTATTAGCAATAATTAATCAGAATAATTTTATTTATTTATTTCATTCTATGAAAATATGGTTATATTCTGTGTTTTTGGCCTGTGTTCACTGACTACTGAAGTTTCTACTTTCTTTAGGTGTGCACTTGACTTCTGTTGCCCCAAAGGTTTTGTAAAAGTTTCTCATATAACTGCCAACTTTATATTCTGTTTTCATTGCAGGATGTTCCTGTCCCTGTTACATTGTTTCTATAGGCTATTGAGCTGCCCATGTTGGGTGCCATTACTACATTATACAATACAATCTCTTGAGGAATACGGTGTGAAAGGGTGCACTGTTTTGCTGTTCCAGAGTGAGAACGGATACTGAAGGTTGATTTCCATCATTGTTATTCTAAACATGCTGCTCCTGTAACAAGTCCACTGCGACTTAGAAGTGGTTCATAGTTCATGTCTTTGCAGTGAAGCCGTAGTTAACCATGGAGCAGTGAAGTAAACCCTTTCAAACACAAGTATATTTTGTTGTTGCAGGACTGAGTGTAGGCTGAGGAGGACCACCATGCCTCCCCCCACAGGAGTCCCGGCCGAACCCCCTCCAGACGGTGGTTGGGGCTGGGCAGTGGTCTTGGGATCCTTCATCTCCATCGGCTTCTCCTACGCCTTCCCCAAAGCCATCACTGTCTTTTTTAAAGACATCCAGATAATCTTCGGTGCCTCCTACAGTCAGATAGCATGGATCTCCTCCATCATGCTGGCTGTCATGTATGCTGCGGGTAAGACTTGATTATATTATTTACCACGAGGCTGTGTACTCAGAGCAGAGTGCCAATGTAGTGGAAAACCATGTTTACAGGATGAGATCAAGGTTGTTCTTGATACTTGACTATTCAGACTCTATGGAATGTTCTAAATTCTGTATTGTTCTAAATTCTAAGTTTGGCTGCAAAACTGAGAGCATACTGGCTGCATGTCTGCCTCTGTCGCTCAATGAAAAATAAGCTTTGGGGCAGATGGACTGTGAACACTTTTACAGTGATCAGTGCAGGGCAAAAGAGCAACGCAGGGTAAGAGCAACGCAGGGAAAGTGCAACGCAGGGTAAGAGCAACGCAGGGTAAGAGCAACGCAGGGTAAGAGCAACGCAGGGTAAGTGCAACGCAGGGTAAGTGCAACGTAGGGTAAGTGCAACGCAGGGTAAGAGCAACGCAGGGTAAGAGCAACGCAGGGTAAGAGCAACGCAGGGTAAGAGCAACGCAGGGTAAGTGCAACGCAGGGTAAGAGCAACGCAGGGTAAGAGCAACGCAGGGTAAGAGCAACGCAGGGTAAGTGCAACGCAGGGTAAGAGCAACGCAGGGTAAGAGCAACGCAGGGTAAGAGCAACGCAGGGTAAGTGCAACGCAGGGTAAGTGCAAGTCAGGGTAAGAGCAACGCAGGGTAAGAGCAACGCAGTGCAGAACGTGAAGTGGGATCAGGGACATGAGAGGTGTGGAGCGCACTCAGCCTCAGATCCTGGGATAAGATCGTCCCAGACCTGCTCCTCCTGTAGACCCCTTGCTGCCGTATTGCTGGGACTTATTTAATTATTTATTTCAAAAGTGGACCATTGTTACATATAAAAAATAAAAAAACACTATATAAGTACAAAGTTTGAAAAGGGACAAAAGCAGGTGCTACATTTGATGGAGAAGCCTGCGAATCTTTTGGGGGTAAAAGGCAAAAGTGTATCAGGTAAAGGTTCTATTTCACTATAGCTGCTTCCTTCAAAAACCACACTTTTGTAACTTTGAGAATTTTTGCTGGTTAATCAACAACTTAACGCTTGTTTCTGCTTGTCTCTGCTTGTCTCTCAGTTTGGCATATTTATTCACTATTACGGGCAAAACTTTGAACTGACACAACTCATTTTGCATGCACGGAAACCCTTGATAAACATAGCCCTACATCCATTCTTCTTTTGTCACAAAGCTGAACCATCACGTAAACAGTCAGGGATGACAAATCATATTGTGGTAATGTCTGTTAGATGATGTGGATTTTGCACAATACAATATTATAATTTTTAAGATAAAAGAATGGAGCTATCTCATTCTTAATCAGACCTCTTTACATGACAACAGGGTTGCACAGTGGCCAGATGTTGGTGTTTCCTCCTGAATATGGTCAGTTTGCTCGGATTGTGTCCTTTGGCTGCAGACCAGTGGCTCTGTGCCCACCTCTTGGCAGAGCTCAGAATCACAGCTAGCTGATCTTTTAGCACGAATAAAGCAGTTGAAGCTTTGTTAAAATCGGCAATAAAGTATGTTTAGCGTTTAGGTATTGATGTTATTATATACACTCAATATTCCTCCCAAAGCGGTCATTAAAACAAAACAAACATTTGTCCATATAACAGTGCCTTGCAATAGTATTCATACCCCACATTTTCCCACATTTTGTCTCGTTATGACCAAAATGAGACCAACACTAGAAGCCATTTACTGCTTTACTGACAGGTTGATCTAATAACAGCAGGTCAGCGTCTGTCCATATGGTTATGACGGCTCCGGGGACTCGTTCGTTCATATTGATCGTGCACATTATCTATTTTATTAAAGAGTTTTATTGTGTTTTAGTTTTACCACTGTATTGCTAACATTTATTTTACACGGTTCTTATTCCTTGTGATGTACTCACAGAGTCAAACTACTCCGGAGCAGACCTGGATAAATCAGTGAATGTTTTAAAAGTAGCATGATTTGTTTGTGTAATTACATTCTCCAGACTCAAGGTTGTTTCTCTGCAGACGTCTATTCCTTTTGTGTTGATCTGCAGAATCATATTGTGACGTAACATTGCCACAAAGACATAAGGATGAAATTAAAAAAGGAATTGCACAGATACAATAGAAATATCTCTTCGTTTAAAATGTCCCAGAGGCAAGTACCTATATCAACTCTCTAATAAATTAGAGACGGACAAAACAGATTTATGATAAATAAATATTTCTGTATTGCATTTATTAACAATGCATTAACGATAGGGAATAAACCATTTGGAATGTTTAAGACATACACTAAGTGATAATCTATCTAATCAGGTCCTTGGTTCAGGGCCTTTCTGAGTGGAGTTTGCATGTTCTCCTCCGGGTGCTCCGGTTTCCTACCACAAAAAATGTGCTCAATAGGTAAAATCCTCCAACTCTAGTAGTCCTGACCAAGAATCCATATTTGGAGATGGGTTCCTGGACAATGTACTATGGCGACCACTGCTCCTGACGTAAGCCTTAGTGGCATCAGGATGGGTCACATGCAGAGGAGAAATTTCCCTACAAGGACAATAAAGTGCACATTTACATTTATAATTAGCCACAAATAAATAAAGAAAATGTAATACATAATAATAAACATAATTTTATTGACCATTATTTATTTAGGAAAGTCCCACTGAGATTTCAGAATCTTTTTTTCAGGGGAGTCCTGGTGCCAGAGACAGGGGAGCTATTGTACTTTTTTTTTAGTGGTAGGGGAAACCGGAGCTCTCCGGGAGGAAAGTACGCAGACACTGGGAGAACATGCAAACTCCATTCAGAAAGGCCCCGCCTGGAAGTGAAATCGAAACCAGGACCTTCTTGCTGAAGAGCAAGAAAGTAATTTCTGTTTGAACACCCAATAAATTGTTTTCAAAATAGATTTTTCTGCTGTTTTCATGTTAAAGCTTAAATGAATCTGCAGAATCTGAGCTTTAAAATGAGGTAAAACAAGTATATTTGATAAAAAAAGGTTTGATCATATGATTTGTTGTGCCAACTCGACTTTACAATCAGTTACATTTTTGCCCAGCCCTAAAATATACAACAACCCAAGCTTAAAAAATAGTTTCCAGATTCATACAGCACCAACAAACACTGCACCAACTCCACAGCTACTGCTCAATGCGACGTTTTAGCTGAAAACCATAACGTTGTGCATCTTTCCCATTTGGGATTAGGGCGGATATATTGAGTTTGGGGTTTTTGTGCTGTGTGTAATGGCGTCTGCGCTGTATCTGGCCTGGAGATGATTCGGTGGAGCTAATTTGACTGCAGTGGGGCCCCTCATCACGGCCTCTCGATCTCATGTGCCCCCGAGACTCCAGATCGCTGCTGCCATTGCAAATGAGGAAAGTTTCTTGAAGGTCATCCAAGATATTAAGGCCCAGAAAATGAAGCCGCAAAACCTAATTTGATTATTCATTTGATTATTCATTAATTCATATTTTAAGCTTTTAAGTCCTGCTTTGTATTTTGTTTTCACTGTCACTCCCAAAATAGTAGAGTTATATAAATTGTTGTCCCTAATACCGCAAAAATAATAATATAGCATACTACTCATACTGGTTGCCTCGATTCTGTAGGTGTGCCCCAGGGCAGCTGTGGCTACTGTAGTAGTTTATCACCACCGTGTATGGAGTGAATGAATATTGACATGTGAAGCATCTTTGAGTGTCCAAAAAAGCGCTATATAAAACTGAGCATTGTTATAATTATTATTATTCATCATGTGGCATTTTTTATGACACCCAAAGGTGCTTGACATGGCATATTTCCTTAATTTCTAACACGGTGGTGGTAAACTTCTACTCTAGCTGCAGCTGCCCTGGGAAGCCATAACACATTAAACATTTATAATTGTTGTCTGAATCCTGTGTGACCCTGAAATAAATAAATAAATGAAATGAAATAAAGAATAAAGGTTCATATATTCCTATAATTCATCGTACAATGTGATTTCAATATAATGTATACTCAATACAGTACATGCACAGGGACATATGGCAAGCCTTTGTTATCATTTGGATGATTATGCCTTACCGTCCATTTTCAAAAAAATGTTACAAGCTGGGAGCCAATTATTAACATTTTAACAAATTAAAGTTTGATACATCTTATTTTACTTTGTTTGACATTGTAAGTTCTACATGCTCAGACTTTTGAACAATATTCTAACTTTCATAAGTTTCACAAGTACTACATAATAAATATATAAGAAACTGCAGAGATTTGATTTAAAAACATTAAATTGAAATTAGAAGGGCGGCACGGTGGCTGAGTGCGAAGGACCTGGGTTCGAACAGGGCTTTTCTGAGTGGATTTGCATGTTCTCCCCGTGTCTGCATAGGTTTCCTTCGGGTACTCCAGTTTCCCCTACCACTAAAAACATGTACAATAGTTCAGGGTGAATGAGTGTGTGTTTGTGAGTGCAAATGTGGGACAAAAGAAAATGCAAATTAGCCCATAGCTACAATCCATAGTGAAGTGTTCATTAACATGTTCTGTCCCAACCAAATAAACAATACATACATAAATGGTTGGATTCAAAATTCAAGCTGAAAATTGAATGAATGGTTTTGACAAGAAACATGTTAAACACCTTGATATGATTTTGTTTACACTGTCACTAACCTACCTCTTAAACTGATTTGGCACAGGACTATGGCAGTGTTGTGTTTAATTATTGAGAGGCTGCAGATGGGATTATGAATAGAAGCTAGACTCCTGTAGCTGCAGTTTTAACCCTCGCACATCATTATGGTCCACACCCTTTGTAAACATTGTACACAGACTGATTGTGCTTGTGCTTCTTCTTTAGGTCCTATCAGCAGCATCCTGGTCAACACGTACGGCTGTAGGCCTGTGGTCATGATGGGGGGCTGCCTTTGTGCGGTTGGAATGATCTCAGCCTCTTTCTGTAACAGTGTTCCACAGCTCTATCTCTGCATCGGCGTTATTGGTGGTAAGTCTAGATAATCCAATAAGTGGGCTAAATGTAGACACAAGGGTTTATGTAATGTTTATTACAATACTATTCCTACAAGGTGTTTCTAACAACAAACCAACTTTTCTGGTTTATGAAAGTTACATAAAAAAGTAATGTGGAGATTGTGTTTCAATAGTCCACAGGGAATAGGCACAAGTTTGTTTTTAACATGGTTGATATTGTGTGTAACAATTTATTTCTGGTGTGTTTCAGGACTTGGTTTAGCGTTCAATCTGCAGCCAGCCCTGACGATGATCGGGAAATATTTCTTTAAGAAGAGGCCCATTGCTAATGGACTGGCCATGGCTGGCAGTCCTGTTTTCCTCAGTACACTTGCACCACTCAACCAGTTCCTCTTCAACAGATTTGGGTGGAGAGGCAGTTTCTTGATCTTAGGTGGACTATTGCTTAACTGCTGTGTGGCCGGCTCACTTATGAGACCTCTGGGACCTCCACCGAATAAAGCCAAAAAAGAGGAGGTAGCTGCCATTACCACTACAGAGAAACGCACAATATGGCAAACTGTAAACAAGTATCTAGATCTATCCCTCTTCAAACACCGGGGCTTTCTCATTTATCTATCAGGAAACTGCATTATGTTTTTAGGCTTTTTTGCCCCTATTGTCTTCCTTGCAGCTTATGCTAAAGACATGGGTGTGGATGAGTACAGTGCTGCCTTCCTGCTTTCAATCCTGGCTTTTGTTGATATGTTTGCCAGACCATCCATGGGACTGGTCGCCAACTCACGTTGGATTAGACCCAGAATCCAATACTTCTTCAGCTTTGCTGTTCTCTACAATGGAGTTTGCCACCTCCTGTGTCCACTGGCAGATGACTACACTGGTCTGGTGATTTATGCTATATTCTTTGGTTTTGCCTTTGGAATGGTCAGCTCCGTGTTGTTTGAAACACTCATGGACCTGGTGGGAGCTCCAAGATTCTCCAGTGCTGTAGGCCTCACCACCATAGTAGAGTGCTGCCCTGTCCTGATTGGTCCTCCGCTGGCAGGTACTTTTACTTGATCTTCTCATTTCATTATGACATATTATATCTGAAAATATAATGATGTTGGCTTAATTCTACAGGTAAACTGGTCGACGTCACAAAAAACTACAAATATATGTACTTTTGCTGTGGAAGTGTTGTGATTGTTGCCAGTATTTGGCTTTTCATTGGAAACTTCATAAACTACAGACTGTTGGACCGTGAGCGTAAGCAGGCAGAGATGTACAAGCGAACTGAGACGGAGGACCCGGACAAAGCTGAAGACCAAAAAGGAGCTGATGCTGAAGCACAGCAGCTCTCACAGGAGCCGGATGAGAAGAAAGTGGAAGAGCCTATGCAACGGGAAACAAACATGTAAAGCCCCTCCCCTCCACCGCGGTTTGGGAAGATATAGGATCAAAATGAGCGTTAAGCAAAGCTACGTGTGGGGTCCCAGCCCACACCTTTCAGCTCCCTCTGAACTTGTGTTTAAACTGCCAAACAGGGGCATTAATGGACTACTTAAGCATTTTTTGTTTTTTTGTGTGAAATGTTCCAGGAACACAATTCAAGTTTAAACCTGTTTTAGGCCACTTGTGAAGTTATCTGTCAACAAACTTATTTTTGTCCTAACACTAACTCCTTATATCAGATTACTATTACGTGAACAAACACAACACCACATTTACAATCTGGATATAGGAACAATGTGGAAGTACAAAGGGCACACTCAACGCCTTTTAGAAACAGTTCACGCCCTACACCAAACCCACACACCAAAAAGTGGTGACCAATTTAGCATGACAAATTAAACAGTCCTGCACCAACAATATGTTTCTTTTCCCAAACACAAGTTGAAATAGAATGCATATTGTAAAAGTATTGCCACACATGATATAAATGGACTGATGTTCATCAAAGATGCAATACAAAAAACAAAACAAAAATCACTGCCATAGCATATATCAATGAAATACTAAAGCAGCAGAGCCGGGACATAGACCCGGTCATTAACAATGGTATTTGGTTTTTGCAAAGTCTGAATAAAAGTGTAACAGTTCCTCTTTGTAACAGATAACGTACCTTTGGTATGGTAACGGTGCAGTGACGGCAGTAAGCACCTGCAAATAATGGTGGATTTTCTGTTACATTCACATGGCTGTAATTATGAAAAGAAAATATAAAGTGAATGAAATGGTGGTTCATGAAAGTAGATCTAATCTAATGGCAAACAGTGCTAACTTAGTTGTCGAGAAATGAGAAGCTCTGGTTTAATTATTCAAGCTTTAGGTTTAGTTTATGTAATAATTACTATACTAAAGAACAAACAAGAAGTTATTGGCAGCTGCTCATAATCCACATTTCCCCAGTCGCACAGTCCTGCTGGAGAAAGACTTCTGATGACTGTGGTATTTGAGGGTGAGCAATCCCACATTAAATATAAGTGAATCATTTCAGTTGACAAACAGGAGAAAGAAACTCCCTAATTGTTGTGTTTAATACACCTTTTGGGTTGGTTAAATGTCCCTCCTCTGTAAATGAGGAACATATTTATTCAAAATCCTGGCGCTTTAATATTACATCACCCTCAGGAGCCCAATGAAATGCAGAGTAATAAGAAAATCAAATACTATCAATCAAGCCATGAATGCTTTCTGTGATTGTATCATTTTGCACTCATGTTTCTTGCACTTTCCAGAAATATGGCCATAAACTTCAACCTATACATTATATTAAAATGCTGCATTTTAATGAATTTTATTATAGTTGAATGTAATTTCCTCAATGGGCCTTAATAAGGTTTAAATGACCAAAACCATTTCTGTGTTTTTTCTTCTGCAGACAGAGCCCATGAGCATTACACACTCTTTATTGATGCATACAGTACTGTACAGTATGTATTGGGAACTATACCAGACTTATCTTTGACTCGTTGCCTTAAAAGTAAAGTTAAGATAGTGGTGGGTGGTATTAATAGTGTCCAATTATACACTCTAAAAAGGATTGGTCAAAACAAACAAAAGGCTGGTGATATTGGTTGTGTTTCAACCAGTATACATTGGTCAAAATAACTAGCTGGGTCAAGTGTCTTGACTGAAATAAAACACAAGCTGTCCCAAAGTGGCACCTGGTGTTCCCAGAGATCTCCCATCCCAGTACTCGCCAGGCTTTGTCCTTCTGAGCTTCTTTGGTCTGTGGTGATTGCCCTTTCATATGCTGATGGTACTTCAGCTGACATGTGACTTGTCCAGCTGAATAGTGCAAGTTCTATGGTAGTGTTTTAAACCAATTTTGGTCATAGCACCAACTGATGCAAATTGGTCATTCATCATTCCAACCAACATTGGTTAAATAAAGTAAACCAACAGATCGGGAAATCTCTGACCAACAATATACTGGTTAATCTAACCAACATCGGCCGAGCCAATTTGACTGGTACTTTCTCTGTGTGTTTTTAGAGTGTATAAGAGAAATAATATCAGTGTACATAAATAAGATTGTTCTTAACATGTCATCTGACAAAGAACAACTAAGAAGGTCTACATATCACTGAGGTTGTACTTTAAAACCCCAGTTTCCTTTTTCTTTATTTATACTTCACAACAATCCCAGATCGACCATATTGTCTACCTGTTAGTGTCCAAGCATATACAGTGCCTTGCGAAAGTATTCGGCCCCCTTGAACCTTTCAACATTTCGCCACATTTCAGGCTTCAAACATAAAGATATAAAAATATTTTTTTTTGTCAAGAATCAACAACAAGTGGGACACAATCGTGAAGTGGAACAATATTTATTGGATAATTTAAACTTTTTTAACAAATAAAAAACTGAAAAGTGGGGCGTGCAATATTATTCGGCCCCCTTGCGCTAATACTTTGTAGTGCCACCTTTTGCTGCAATTACAGCTGCAAGTCGCTTGAGGTGTGTCTCTATCAGTTTTGCACATCGAGAGACTGGAATTCTTGCCCATTCTTCCTTGCAAAACAGCTCAAACTCAGTGAGGTTGGATGGAGAGCGTTTGTGAACAGCAGTCTTCAGCTCTTTCTACAGATTCTCGATTGGATTCAGGTCTGGACTTTGACTTGGCCATTCTAACACCTGGATACGTCTATTTGTGAACCATTCCATTGTAGATTTGGCTTTATGTTTCGGATCATTGTCCTGTTGGAAGATAAATCTCCGTCCCAGTCTCAGGTCTTTTGCAGACTCCAACAGGTTTTCTTCCAGAATCGTCCTGTATTTGGCTAAATCCATCTTCCCATCAATTTTAGCCATCTTCCCTGTCCCTGCTGAAGAAAAGCAGGCCCAAACCATGATTCTGCCACCACCATGTTTGACAGTGGGGATTGTGTGTTCAGGGTGATGAGCTGTGTTGCTTTTACGCCAAACATATCCTTTTGCTTTGTGGCTAAAAAGTTCGATTTCGGTTTCATCTGACCAGAGCACCTTCTTCCACATGTTTGGTGTTTACTTTAAACAAAACTTTTTATGGATATCTTTGAGAAATGGCTTTCTTCTTGCCACTCTTCCATAAAGGCCAGATCTGTGCAGTGCCCGACTGATTGTTGTCCTATGGACAGACTCTCCCACCTCAGCTGTAGTTATCTGCAGCTCATCCAGAGTGATCATGGGCCTCTTGGCTGCATCTCTGATCAGTCTTCTCCTTGTTTGAGATGAAAGTTTGGAGAGACGGCCAGGTCTTGGTAGATTTGCAGTGGTCTGATACTCCTTCCATTTCAATATAATTGCTTGCACAGTGCTCCTTGAGATGATTAAAGCTTGGGAAACCTTTTTGTATCCAAATCCGGCTTTAAACTTCTCCACAACAGTATCTCGGACCTGCCTGGTGTGTCCCTTTGTCTTCATGGTTCTCTCTGCGCTTTAAACAGAACCCTGAGACTATCAAAGAGCAGATGCATTTATACGGAGACTTGATTACACACAGGTGCATTCTATTTATCATCATCAGTCATTTAGGACAACATTGGATCATTCAAAGATCCACACTGAACTTCTGGAGTGAGTTTGCTGCACTGAAAGTAAAGGGGCCGAATAATATTGCACGCCCCACTTTTCAGTTTTTTATTTGTTAAAAAAGTTTAAATTATCCAATACATTTCGTTCCACTTCACGATTGTGTCCCACTTGTTGTTGATTCATGAAAAAAAAAAAAAATTTAATATCTTTATGTTTGAAGCCTGAAATGTGGCGAAATATTGAAAGGTTCAAGGGGGCCGAATACTTTCGCAAGGCACTGTAGGCCTGTCACAATAATCTTATAGCTTTACAAAATATTGTCTGTCCATTCTCTTTGTAGTAACCAACGTTTTTTTATTGGAGAAATGGTGTAAAATGGTGTTGACTATTTCACCAATGTGGCTATATGTTCTTATTTATTTTTTACAGCTCAGGTTATCCAAAATAGGTTTTTTAATGTTGTCTAAATATTATTGTTTATTGTGACAGGTCTTTTTACAGGCAATACATTCCGGGTATGTGTGATGCCCTGAATGACTATTACAATAATGTCATATGGTAAGAAGGCATTCACACATTTCTGTCTCAAAACCCAAATCTTTGGGTAAACGCCAACTCACTGACCAAAAACACCCTGTGACAGATGTGCTAAGAAAGCCAAGCTCATTTTAATACCTAATGTCATTTTCAAAGCAATTGTGAACAAGGCCTGTGTATTATTCTCTCTTCTCCATGTGCGAGTGTCCATTGTATTGTCCGCATGTGTGGCAGATGCTTCATAATGTCACACTCTCTAAATGAGCCAAAACCTCATAGAATGTGTGCTTTAAAACCCTCTAGGATTATTACATCTGGCTCCATGTGGTTTACCAGCCTTTTTATATTTCCTCACTATTTTACCTGCACTGACACGTTTGTGAAGTACTTTCCCTGTAGTTCACTGTAATGAGGGTCACACACTGCAACCTGCTGCACAATCACTGCATCACAATAACACTGCCCTCTACTGGCTCCAGACAACACTACCAATAACCATTTACTAAAATGCACCTATTAGAATTAGAATTTTGTATTTCCCCCCTTTGAACCTTGCTATTATATTTATATTGAGACATACTTTCCTAGCTCATAATCAATAAAAGTTGTTTTAGTTTCTACGCCAAAAACAATGTATATATTACTCATATGGATATTTTTAAGTTTAAATCTACCTACTGTTCTTCTTTGATTTTTTTTTATAGCACAATGTAATACTATACAATAAGGCAAACAATTCAACTGAATGGAAGCTGGTTATTTTATATACACTGGGAAAGTATTGATGATATACAGAATGTTTAAACAGCTTCTAGTGTATGTAATCAAAATGTACTTTTCTCACTTTTTGCTATGAGTTGAGTGCAATATAAAGATAGAATATATAGAATTTTTTATTTTCAGGACTTTTTGACTTTTTATTTTTCGATGGTCAATTTAGGCAAATAAAGGTTTATTTTTTCACATCCAAGGAAAGCATTTGACACTTAGTAAATAACCTGGGATTGTGTCTACTGTTTAACATTATACATCTCCAAATAACTGTCTCACATTGAACTAATTCACATTGCGTTGTGTAAATGTAAGAAAGACTGTCACTAACAAGCTAACCGTGCCTTACCGTGCCCCTAATGTTCTAACAATGTAGACGTAGGCTTTACTAATGAATTGTTGCATGTAATTCTGTCAAGCTCACATGCTTTTGTTAGGTGTCTTTCCTCTTTCGAATTCAAGCAGAAGTAATGAATTAACTTCTGTGTCGTGTATCTTTCCACTACCTCTGCTATGAACAGAGCGACGGAGTATTCCTCATGGGTCACCTGTATTTGCTCTGTAATAGTATACCACATTTCATTGTAGACAAATAAATGATCGTAAACATCCTCGGCTGTTTTTGGTATTTTTCATTTATTCTATGCACTTACGATACGTTATGTGGGAAAATTATAAGTAAGTGATTTGAAAACAACAGTACATTGTGTATAGGGCTGTAATGAACAATTAGTTTAAAAATCAATCCATTATATTTATAGAGCACTCAAGGCGACCAAAGTGCTTCACAATAAAATTACATGGAAGCCATCCATTAAAACATTTATGCATTAAAACAATAAAACAAATAAAAAGCATTAAAAAATGTGTCACTGTAAAATTGATTATTCTTTTGATTAACCATTTTAGTTGAATAGGTCCTGAACGGTCAGTAAATATGGAAGATGTTATGTAAATTATATAATGACAGCAAAAGGAAATTAAAATGTAATTTCAATCTGCAGTCATAATAAAAGTCATAAAACTACCTTTCAGCATGTTTAATTGTATGTAAGGTTAAAAAACCCAATACATCAATTAGTAAATTACTTGCAATAGTTGATTAATGCAATTAATTACTTCACTTTATTCATTCCCAATTTCTAGTACCTTTAATCACCTTAACTTACACACCGCACACCTTTTTATTGGGAAGAGTAAAGATGAGAATATTACTGATGGTGAAAATAATAGTATTCTCAGATGTCAAGGCATTGGCTTTTATCGACATCAAACGAAAACACAAACAAGCCGAGAGGTAAATGTGATACAAACTATACAGGAGATAACAGGATGTATTCATATTTTTAGCTATCAGCAAAGTGTTTGTTTCATAGTTATTCTTGATACCATATGGTGCATTTGTCTATGATGCTTGTCAAACAGGATGCAGTGTGTTCGTCCTTGTATCAGCTTCATATGGGGTGGGCCCTTTCATGTCTTTCTTAACAAGACAGAAAAAAAAGGCAGAAAGATACACTGTGACCAAATAACACCAACAAACTGAAAATCATACATATCATCATATCCAAGCGACTGGACACACATACATTAACACTTGACTTTCCCTGCATGCATAATGTAGTGACAGTAGAAACAAATACATCTGGAAAGACTCAGCCAAGCACAAAGAATTATATTATTGAATACAGCATAATTCTGGGGCAGATATACAGGTACAGTACCATTGTAAGTAACAACTAATTTAGAACACCCACACACACTCACATGCATGCACACACGCGCGGGCATGCACAGACAAATACACATACACACAAACACTTACACACACACACACATGCACACACACACATACATGCTCAGACAAATACACACACACACACATGCATGCATGCACAGACAAATACACATACACACGAACACCTACACACACACAAACACACATGCACACACGCGCATGCATGCACAGACAAATACACGCACACACACACACACACATGCACACACGCGCATGCATGCACAGACAAATACACACACACACACACACATGCATGCACAGACAAATACACCCACACCCACAAAACACAAATTCCATATATGAAACGGAGTGAGATCAGTATAGAACACATTTTTCCAACTTCCTTTTTTCTTGGCTATGGCTTTGTTGCTTTGACCCCAGCAGAAATGTTGCAAGACATATGTAGGAGGAAATTGAATAAAGATTATGAAAGTGAAATTGGGTGGAAGAAGCGGGTGAACCGATGAAGAGAATAAGCTGAAGAGCATTTTTCAACTGTTGAGGTTTGATTGAGAGGAGGTGGGTTGTTGCACGAGCGAAAGAGTTGGGCAGAGCTGTGAGGCACTGTTTGAATACAGCATGTAACTGATTAGTGGTGGGAAGATTCAAGTGAAGCCTGTTATAGATAGTGACCATGGGGATCTTCCAGTCTAAACTTTCAACTCATTAGCAAAGCTTGCAACGTGAGGCACATTAAGTTAAAATGTTTTATGTGTTTAACTCCCCCCGTCTTTTTCTCTTTCTTTCTCTTCTTTCATTTCCTCGTTTTGCTGGATTGTCCTGCATTTTCTCCCTTTAAACGAAAAATAAAACATACAAAGACACATTCGTATTTATCATTCAATAATAATCATGATATCGTTGAAATTCATTGTGCAGGTGAAAATGGTGAAAATCGTAAAATTTGAATTTTATCAATCAAAAATTCCAAATCCATTCACTTCTGTTATTCAACTACTGATACTAATGATACTACTGATACTATTATCAGTGTGAAACTTGTATATGAAAGACTCATTACATGCAAAGGGAGATATACCAAACTTTCTAGGTATAAAATGTATTGAAAATGGACTGTGAGCCAAAACAAAGAGTATAAACAAACAAAAGCTTGGCACGATTGCGAAGAGCCTTTATCTCTTGGCTTCAAATTGTAAGTTTAATTACTGAAATAAATTAACTTCAGAACGACATTGTTATTTTTAGAGTTTCATCTGAATTGATATAAGAAACATGTGAATTTTGATAGTATTCGCTTTATGTCAATCCGACGGCTTTTAGATTTGGAAGTGTCGATTCTGAGTTCAGGTTTAGTCTGCATAACTGTGAAACTTCTTCTGTATCTTTAGGTAGTTTAATAGCCTTTCAACAAGGGGATTGAAGGATTTTTATATAATTGATGGAAAACTAGTTTTTTTGGAAAAATGCCATTGATTTGAATTGGAGCAGTAAAAATGGCGGCTATGGGAGTTTCCAAATTCAATTCCAATATAATGTATTTTGTATGTGTGTGTGTGTGTTTGTGAGTGTGTCTGTAACTGTGTGCTGTATATTTAGTGGGAATGTTAGATTACAGTAATAAATGAGTTTTTAGGTCTGTCTTTTTTCAATCTGTTTATTGTAGAGAGAAGCCCAACCAGGGACAGGAGTTGAAAACTAGCATTAGCTTTGAACTCTGTTGCATCAATTGCATCTTTCATGCTGTAACTATGTAAGTGTCATGTGGTGGGATGAAGAGGGTCCAAAAATGCAGGAATGCCGATTTAATAATAAACAAAGATAAGATTACAACAAACTCAAAATCCAAAAGGAACACAGGAACCATGAAACCGACAGATGGTTGATTTGATCAAACAAATACTAACAAAGACAATGGACCAGCAACAAGGGGAGAGGAGCAGAGAGTACATTCTGTATAGACGCAGAAAGACACAGGTGACCACATTAGGGCGGAGCAGACCATCAAGACGGGGGAACAGGACAGGAAGTCAAACTAAAACCAAATCACAAAGAACTTATGTCAAAATAAAAACACCATGACAGTATGACAACATTATCCCTGTCAAATGAATACATACAAACAAGTTAAATAGGTGAGATAGGTGAGTGAACAGAGAACCTCTTGTTTGGTGCGTTCACGTCTCTATTAAGGAAGGGTACTTAGTGCACCAGAGTCCGCTTCAAGTGTGAACAGACCCTTCCCAGCGCAGACTACAAAGAGTCCCAGCTGCAGAGCCCGCCTCTTGGTGCCATTAGCATGCAGGGTTCTGAGGAGGTGCGTGCGAGCGTGCCCATGATGGTGATGATGGCTGGAGACCCTCGGGCACAGTTTGAGGCTACATTTTAATGGGGCGGTGAGGGTCAACAGGAGAAAAGAGAACAATAAAGCGGAGCGCCACCCTGTGATCGGCGTTTGAAGAGCAGAGTGCACCTCAGAGGGAGGGACCTGCTCTGGGCTCTGACCTTCACAGCTCTGTCAAAGGCTATTCTCTGTGAATATGGGCCGTTTCAAGTCGACCGCTCTCACTCACTTGTTTTACAATTATCTCTTGTGCATACACATCCAAGCAGAACTTACACCAAATGCTGTGGTTTTAGAAATGAACGGGGTTGAACATGTTAGCACAAAAATGTAAATTAGGAACATTTAACTGTTGTAGTAGAATTGTGTTTGTTCAGTCATTGTATCTGTCATTTTTTGAACACAAAACAAGACAATTTTAGTAGTAGTAGTGGTAGTATGCATTTATTTCAAACATTATGCAAAAGAAAACAATACAAACAAGATGCAAATAAAATACAAAAACAAGACACAAAATAAACAGAAATACACTTTTTTTTCATGAAACGATGATTGAAAGGGTTTAGGCTGAAGTGAAAGGCTTATGAATGCCTTACCCTAACACATACCAATACCAAGAATGGTAATTTTTCAGATCCAAACCTCATGGAAAAACTGTATTAATATATATTCTTTTATTTTGATACTGTGCTGCAGGTTATAAGTGATGTTTTGATTGAGGAAATGTGCTCGTTATTGCGGAAGTTTTATTGGACTAATCCTTATTATTATTAAATTGAAGTATTAGTATTAAATTAGCAAGAGTGCCAGGGTTCATTGGTAGAAAATGGTTAGAAAACTTTAATGGCAAAAACCTTCTTCCTCGGACTACTCATGTGTGTTGGATTTAATGAACAGATTATCGAATTGTTTGATAATTTATAATAACATAATATAAACAATAAGGTGAGGCTATGGCTTTTATCATATCCCTTCACTTACATGTTTGGCTATATTTCTCCTAAAGGCTTGAAATGAAAGCCTTTACTTGTCAGTTCCAACTCCATTACCACACTGCGCTGTTCTGTCTGTACACCAAACCAATGAGTTCTGGCCCCAGGCTCTGTGACCTAAACTGGACCTAGCGTCGTCATGCCCAAAAGCTACAAGCTGCTGCGCTCTGCCTTGACAAGACACACATTAACCTTTCCTACGTTATTTTTCTGCGAGTGGAGATCTCCCACTTTGAAGTGCTCCCATTTAACCTTCATTTAACTTTAGTGTCGTTCTCTCCAAGGCACTCCATTTTGACAGCACAAGCCTTTAGAAGTCAGAAAAGGCCCGCGGCTATAGATGGCATATCAGCACATCTGTCTGCTCTGGCGGCAGGTGGACCAGTGCAGAGCTGTTGGTTCAGTCGTGGCTGCCTCTCACTGCGGATCACTGCGGATCACTGTCAGAAGCCCCATCGCATAAGACATCATCTGGTCTCAAGAGGAGGAGCGTGGCCCTGAAGAGGCACAGCATGGGGTTTTGAAAGCTGAAAGCAACTAGTTATTGACAATCCTTTGAAATATTTATTTTGTTAGACATTGACTTCAAGAGGATTTGAGTTAAAGCCATAATTGACAAGAACATTCATTTTTAAATAGAAATACAGGGAAAAATGGACCAGAGAAAAGAAAGACAGGTGTGAGTTGGATCAAATGGGACTTGTTTTTAATTCAGTCAATCCTTTTTTTAATACTATGGTCAGTTGGAAGTTGTTTTTTATGAAAAATAATGATTGCGAATAGATTTTAAGATTTTTCCAGGCTGCAAAGCGGCAAACGTGAAAGGATCATATTTGATTTCATATTTTCCTTGGTTTCTAAAGCCTCTTAGATTTCACCATTAAGAAAAATAACACCACCACACAAAAATTGTAAAAAATAAAAAAGAATAATCAGTGGAAACTATACGTTTACATACACTTTTACTGCATACTTTGAAGTAAAAGACAATGACCTCACTTGAGGCAATAGACAGGTGAGGGAAGACAATTACATGTCTTTCTACACATGCAAACTTCAGGTTCCTACTGTATATCTGATTCCCATGACACCCAGCTGTAATTCACCCCCGCCAAATATTAAATGAGGAATTGTGTGGTATAGCCAATTTGAGCTCTGTATTTTCAGTTCTGAATGGTTAGTGTTATTCCATCATTCTGCTTGCAGCTCTTTGCTGCTGTGTGACAGGTCTTCCCCATAAAGAAAATAATGAGTTTATGTAGATAATAGTTATTACTCTGTGGCAGTGCTGGCTTGGGCTCCAGATAATGTGAGACAGTGAAGATCTGCCGTGGCTCTTTGATCTGGCCTGACTTTCCCTTTAACTTGTGCTGACACTGCACTCAGAGGACACAGAGAACGTGAGACTACAAACCTCTTTCACCTCACATGATCCACACATAGAAGAAGCACTGTCTCATTTGCTTAAAAAGGCGGCCTCAATAAATTGGAGATGTGACAGCAAAAAAGGCACAAAGTAATGATGCATCCTTTGTGTGTGTCTGGAAACACAGATTTAGTCCCGGAGATAGAGGGCGCTGTTAGCTCGGTTTTGCCCATAGGGACTGTAGGACACAGTGTGCGTCTACACCAAAAGTTATTTATAGAGACTGAGGGTGGATTCAATGCAGGAAAGGACAAGTTTTCATTGAGATAGTTTCTAGATTGTATGAAAATGATAGGGCTGATCATCTATCTTTTGTCATGTTACAAAAAAAGGAAGCTGCATTTTCTGTCTGTGTCACAACATCTAAAGGAAGGAAGGACCTAAACGTGCAGAACTGTAAAAAGTAATTTAATCAAAGAAAATCCAAAGATAAAGTCCAGGATCCAACAGAAATCCAAATCATAACTCAATGACAAACAGAGGACAAAGACTTCAGGAGGAAAAGACACATAGGAGGGGCAGAGAAATGAACACATCAATAAGTAAAAATAAAAATGTTTTATTTTGTAATATTTGTTCTCCTTTATATATAATATATATATATATATATATATATATATATATATATATATATATATATATATATATATATATATATATATATATATATATATATATATATATATATATATATATATATATATATATATATATATATATATATATATATATATTATTATTTAGTCTCTATACCGGCCCCCCATTGAGGACCCGACTCTCCATCGATGGTGCCTGGGGCCATGGCCTCAAACACCCTGATGGCACAGTGGCTCCAGAGGTTGGACCAAGCTCTGAATTGTGGCGCCCCACAGTTCTGTCTTGCTGTTGGGGACAAAACTAAAAGTAGATTACAGCGCAAAAGTGAAAGTGAGTGGACAATGGGATTGAGGGCACTGCTCTCTGTGAGGGGGACAGTTAGATTAAGATTATATTGAGAAGGATTTGTAAGAGTGACAGTTCACCCTCCTTAAAACAAGCTCTTGGTATCGAGTTCTCTCCAAAGCAAAACAACCCTCAAGTGAAAAGTTTATCCTACACTTGACAAAGGTTTTAATGCTTCCATTTTGTCTTCCATCGGTTTTATTCACTTAAAATAAACATGTTGTTTTTTTAGATTTGACAACAATAACATATCTAATACTAGTACTATCAAATAGTACTTGTTATAGATCATTTAAAGAATGTAATTGAAAAAAGCATAATAAAACAACCTAAAACATCAGCAAGGCCATCCTGGTGTTTTCTCCGTGGGATGTCAGGGCCCTCATACTTTACGAGAGCTGATATGAGATTTTACTTTCACCTATTGTTTTTAATCATGTCTTCCCATTTTGAAATCCAAGTCTCTTACCACATTTGTAAACACGGTGGACTATAACAAATGATATTTTTTTGGGGGTTTTTTCTAAGAAAAATTAATGTTTTTGTAGAGATGTGTGTTGGCCTCTGATTGGCAAGCTATGATAGGTTACAGGGGAGATTTGTTAGTAGAATTTTTGATTATAACACATGTTTTTGAGAAGCACGTTTGGCAAAATATTTCTGTCCTTGGTGATCGACTAAAAGCTGAACTGATTTTGACTTTGAATTAACTCTGTTCAAGTTGTCTGTTTGTAGGACTCGCTCTATAGCGGAGATGGGGCTCTTTTGCCATCCCATTCTATAAAAGAATGTATGAAAGATGAATGGGTTTGTGTTGGATCAATTCTTCGTCATGGTCTAGCGAATCTCTTACCATCATTGATTAAGTTCCTTATCAACATGATCTGCTCTATTGATTCTGTTGGTCACATTCAAATCAATATGTCATCTTCATATTCAGTTTTACGCCCCAAAATGCAACACAAAGCAGAGTTGTGGTTAGAAGTATCTGTATTGTTGTATGTCTATGGGAAACACAGATCTCAAACAAGCAGCATGTTTCTTAAATCACTTCCAGTTTCCTGTTGTCATGTGTCCTTCATGAGGCTATTAATAGCCAACAACTCTGATCGGGAAATGATGGGATTTAAGGAAAATAAAAGGTGGGCTAATAGTCTTTGCCTGTATTGGCACCAAATGTTTATCAAACACACATACTTCAATGTTGTTGGCCTCCGCCAGGGCTGCCCTTTTTCACCGGTTCTGTTCACTGAGTTTATGGACAGAATTTTTAGGCGCAGCCAGGGGTCGGAGGGGGTTTGGGGACCACAGGATTTCATCTCTGTTGTTTGCAGACGATGTTGTCCTGTTGGCTCCAACAAACCAGGACCTGCAACATGCACCTCCCTGGGGAGGTGTTCCGGGCACGTCCCACTGGGAGGAGGCCGGAGGGACTATGTCTCTCAGCTGGCCTGGGAACACCTTGGGGTCCCCCTGGACGAGCTGGAGGAAGTGTGTGTGGATAGGGAAGTCTGGGCGTCTCTGCTTAGACTGCTGCCCCTGCGACCCGGCAACGGATGAAGCGAAAGAAAATTGAATGGAATGGAACATACTTCAATGGAGCTGAAATGAAGGTTCAGACAGGAAGATTAGTATCCTCCATTGTGTGTTTTTTTTTCTTTTTTTTTCACGCCGGTCCTCTTATCAGTGCCTTTCAGCTCTCAGCTCATGTCACAACCCTCATCCTCCAAATCATACATTAGTGCTGGAACATTCTAAACCAAAATATGAATGCTCAATACTAATACAAATGATACTGTACATCATTCTACAGATTTTTTTTTAGATTTTTTTCTGTTTCTTCATAGTACCAACACCAATATTTAGTGTTTTCAAAGCTGCATGACACAAGTTGAGAAAAGCAAGAGTGTGGAACTGGGCGAATATTTGTACCACTATGATTAACACCGAGATATCCAGAAATGCTGAATCAAACAGCACATGTATTAGATAATGTTTTTAGGGAAGCTTGTCATGCTTTCTTAAGAAGACTGTTCCAAATTGTACTGTATCTGCATAAATCTGGAAGGCTGCCTCTCCATGTCTAGTGCCTGCAGTGCTCATAATGGCCCTCATTTACGGTATGAAACTTGCGCAGAAAAAGGTGTAAATTTGGGGTGTCGATTCAAAATATTCAAGATCCCAGGTGGGATTTATGAACGTGTGAGATCCGCCCAGATCCGAGCGTACGCACCAGTGGGTGTTCATAAATGCTGAATACGAACGTATTTATGAAAGTCACGCCTAGAGATATGCAGCAATTGCCTGTCTCACGCCCCGGTTTTACGACAGGTCAGCAGGAAGTCGGCCAAGAAGACTGTTTGGACTGGTTGCGTTTCCTTCGAACAAATTTGCAATACTTTTTTGTTACATTACAAAATCTCTCTTGAACTGTAGAAGAAAATAAATAAATAAAGAATTAATTAATTAATTAATTCATAAATATTAATAGCCTCAGCGGTGGCTCTCATCATTAACTGAATGAAGCGTCTGCAGCATCTTGTGAATGCAATGAAGTGCTGTACACTTGAGAGAGGATGAGAAGCTTTTGTGAAGTTGTGGTGCAGGATTAACCAAACTGTAAAGCACTTTGTGTTGCATCTTTTGTATGAAAAGCGCTTTATAAATAAAATTTGATTGATTGATTGATTGATTTCAGAAACTCTGGAGCCCAAACTTCGGAATGACAGACGCATTACATTTGAGGAGTTATGCGGCGCAACCTCTCATGGCACCCGCTGCGCACTGTCCAAGAGGTAAGCGCGTTGCCATCCTGTCTATACATTTCTACATGTGGACAGGGCAGTGAGACATTTGGAGTAAGCAAGACTATGGTCCATCGGTGCGTTTATGGGGTGTGTGTCTGTGTGAGGCTTTCATAACTAATGGAAAAAATACATTGCTTTGCCAGGTGTGACTGGTCCACTCAGCGCATGCAGGCCTGCCACATATTTACAGAGAAATAGATGGGTCATACATCCCTGTTGCATAAGTTAGTAAGTAAGTAAAGTGTATTTTTATATTTATATTTGATGCGCAAATTCATATTTCGAAATGCGATGCTCAATGAAAATGCAGCTTATCATTTTGCCAGAGTGGGAATATGTTTTTTGTTGT